ACATAGTATTGGGTCTCAGACTATAGTCCTATGCACAAGTATCTAGGAGGCCCAATCAACACAGTGATATTTACTTCCTAGTAAACACACATTAGAGCCACTGTGATATAGTGGTCTGAGTGTAGGACTACAATTCTAGAGATCAGGGTTCAATTCCTCACTCAGCCATAGAAACCTGCTGGGTAACCTTGGAGGAGTCACATACTCTCAACCCCAGAAAACCACTTGAGTTGGCCTTAGGGTTGGCATAAATCAGAAACAACTTCAAAGCAGACGACAACAAACATACATAGGAACATAGGTATGTAAGGACAGTAAGTATCACCTGCTGATTTTGCTCATCTTTCACATTAAATAATTTGTGACTGAAGTTATCCTGAAAATGGAACAAGTTTTGCTACTGACAGTTTATGCCTGATGATTTTTTTTTGCCTGCTCTTGTTTTTCAGTTACAAATTACCAAGTTTTTTTTAGCTAGGCAAGATTTTGAATGTAACTTGTTAAATGGACGAATGTGTATCACAGAATAATTTAACATATGACTAGCTTTTGTAAACCATTTGACTTCAGTGCCACCATAGAACCAGTGTTGTCCATGATAGTTCATACTCTCCAAAAAAGAAACAGCCAGTGCAGTTTAAAACCAGTGCTGTGAAATTTCTGTATGGTACTCTGGATAGGAATCTCATTGTAGCATTTTGTACAAGCTGATCTTTCTGTGTCATCTTCCTGGGCAATCTCATGTAGAGCACATTACAGTAGTCTGATCAGGAATATACAAGTATGTTAACTACTGTGCTGACGTCATTGTATTTCATATTTAAATGCTTTCCATATTCCAGAGCTTTGGTCATGGAAACTAGTATGGGGACTAGGGAGAAAGAATGAGAACTTGGCTAGATATAAACAAAGTTGATTTATACAGTCAGATGGATGAAATTCAGACATACAGTCTCTATCCACAATCTTCATTGGCACAGCCCCCAAAGAGCTATATTATTTGATTACTCTGTGCATCAATTGCCTTTCCCAATAATAGTTTGCAAAAAATGGGTATAAAGCAAAATTGGCAGCTACATCATAATCAATAGCTCTGAAACCATTTTTTTTAAAAAAATAATAATCTAAATTGTTTTTAAAATCCATCCTTGTGCATCTTGAGGATGTCTGCTTTCATAACAGGAGTTTCCAGAATGGATTGAAAAGCCCTGACAAAGGAGACTAGTAGCTGGGGAATATTCCAATTTGCAGCTACCCCATAGTCTGTCACAGTCTGAAATCACTGGGCATCTCCTAAACACTTTCCGCGGCAGACTCCTCTTCTAGCTTAACACTCTACCTTTTTGCCCTTCAAGCACAGCATGTTCCAAACAGGCAGGAAGGAATGATGCAGTCTGGCCTTGAGCCACTCCTGTTAGGGAGCATTTTCTTCTTTGACTACCTACGGCTCCTTTATGATCTCTACTCCATTTCAAGTTGAGATTGTGACAAAACTGCCAAGAGTTGCAGAATCTGGCATGTTTAAAACAAAGAGTCCTGCAGCATCAGATGAATCCAGGCTGAGCTAGTTCAGCATTTTGTTCCTCCTGGTGAATCTGGGAAGCTTACAAGCAGAACACAAAAGCAGCATTCCTCCCCTGTCGTTTTATCCCCCACATCACCTAATATTAACTATTTATACATCAGACAGCTAAGATGGTATAGCTATCAGAGGACTGGAGAGCTCCAGGTTCAAATGCACATTTGCCAGTGAAACTCGTGGGTGCCCTTGGATTTCTGGTATCTATTTGTCAGTGTAACCTACCATACCTCACAGAATTGTTGTGAGCATAACACTGAGAAGAAGGCCTACTTATAGCACCTTGAGCTCTGTGGAGGAACAGCAAGATGCAATACTTGTTGCTTCTATGTATGGTTCTTGGCTAACAGCCATTAATCATCATCATCATCATCAATTTTATTTATAGCCCGCCTTCCCTTGTGGATCGATCTATCATCCATAAAATATGCCTAAAACCATCTTGTAAGGTTGCAGTCCAAAGCTAGCAACCAGAATTTGGAAAAGTAACTTGTTTGGACTACAATTTCCAGAACTTCCTAGCCAGCAGATCCATTGGGCATACCAGCTAGGGTTTTCTGGGAGTTGGAATCCAAAAAAGTCACTTTTCCAAACTTTGCAAGGAAATACAATATAATTCCACCTGTTTTCAAATAATCACAGCAGCACCAGACTAGAAAACAGGCAAAGCAACATACTTTACTATCTGTTTACACTTTTAAAAAATGAGCTTGCTAAATTGCACACATTTGGTAAGTAGATCACCAAATAATGCTGGCAGTGACTCACTACAAACAAATGTCTGTTCAGGGGTGGGGACAAATACATAATTATTTAGGCTTCTTTTACTCTCTGGACAAGTGTCGCAGGTAAGTGTTTTCAATATATTTAAAAATATGTTGAGCTTTCAGGATTCAAGACCAAACAGGTCAGTAAAATACAGCTTTATTGTGCTAGGTCAGTGATGGAAAACCTTTTAGGATCCAAGTGCCCAAACTAAAAGGCCTTCCATTCTCCAGGGGTGGGACTTCTTCCCCCCACCCTCCCAGGCCTTCAGCTGCCTCTCCAG